AATAAATGCCCACCTCAAGAAATAAGAAAGGGGCACCTGGCTGGTTCAGTCGGTAAAGCATGCAACTCTTGATCTTGGGGTTGTGAGTTTGAGCCCCATGTTGGGCATAGAGTTTACTTAAAGAATAAATTGTTTAAAAAAAAAAAAAGAAGAAAGATCTTAAATAAACAACTTAACTTTACATGTCAAGGAACTAGAAAATGAACAAATGAAACCCAAAGTTAGTAAAAGGAAGGCAATAACAAAGATCAGAGCGAAAATAAATGAAATAGAGACTAAAAGGGCAACAGAAAAGATCAAACTAAGAAGCTGGTTTTTTGAAACTAAGAGCTGGCTTTTTGAAAAGATAAAACTGATAAATGTTTAGCTGGGCTCAGCAAGAAAAAAAAAAGAGGACCCAAAAAAATAAAATTAAAAATGAAAGACAAGATGTTACAACTGATACCACAGAAATACAAAATCATATGAGACTACTATGAACAATTATACACCAACAAATTGGACAACCTAGAAGAAATGAACAAATTCCTAGAAACATATAGCCTACCAAGATTGAATCATGCAGAAATAGAAAATCTGAACAGACCAATTACTAGTCAGAAGATTGAATCAATAATCAAAACCTCCCAATAAACAAAAGTACAGGACAGATGGCTTCATTGGTGAATTCTACCAAACATTTAAAAGAAGAATTAACATCAATCCTTCTCAAGCTTTTCCAAAAAAAGAAGAGGGAATACTTCCAAACTCATTTTATGAGACTGGAATTACCCTGACATCAAAACCAGACAAGGACATCACAAGAAAATTACAGGCCAACATCCCTGATGAACACAGATGCAAAAATCCTCAACAAAATATTAGCAAACCAAATTCAACAATTCATTAAAAGGATTAACACTGTGATCAAATGGGATTTATTCCAGAGATGAAAGTATGGTTCAACATATGCAAATCAGTCACTAACAAAATGAAGGATAAAAGTCAGATGATCATCTCAATATATGCAGAAAAAACATTTGACACAATTCAACATCCATTAATGATAATTCTCAACAAAGTGGGTATAAAGGGAATGTAACTCAACATAATAAAGGTCATATATGACAAGCCCACAGCTAACATCATAGTCAATGGTAAAAAGCTGAAAGTTTTTCCTCTAAGATCAGGAACAAGACAAAGATGCCCACTCTCACTGCTTGTATTCAGTATTGTTTTAGAAGGTCCAGCCAGAACAATTAGGCAAGAAAAAGAATAAAAGACATCGAGTTGGAAAGGAAGCAATAAAACTGTCACTATTTGTAGATGACATTATATATAGAGAACCCTAAAGACTCCACCAAACAAAATCAAAAAACCCCACAACCTGTTAGAACTAATAAACACATTTGGTAAAGCTGCAGGCCACAAAGTCTACATACAAAAATCTGTTGCATTACTATACATTAATAACAAGCTATCAGAAAGAGAAATTAAGAAAACAATCCCATTCACAATTGCTTAAAAAATAACATACCTAGTAATAAATTTAACCAAGGATGTAAAAGACTTGTACACTGAAAACTGTAAGACATTGAACAAAGAAATTGACGAAGACACAAATAAATGGAAAGATGTTCCATGCTTGTGGATCAGTAGAATTAATAGTCAAAATGTTCATGCTACCTAATGCAATGTATAGATTCAATGCAATTCCTATCAAAATTCCAATGGCATTTTTTACAGAAATACAACAAACAATCTTAAAATTTGTATGGAACCACAAAAGATCCCAAATGGCCCAAACAATCTTGAGAAAGAAGAACAGAGCTGGAAGCATTATACTTTCTGATTTTAAACTATATTACAAAGCTATAGGAATTAAAACAGTATAGTATTGGCATAAAAACAGACACATAGATCAACAGAGCAGAATAAGAGAGCCCAGAAATAAACCCATACAAATGTGGTCCATTAATTTATAGCCACATAAATGTTTGGAGCCAAGAATACATAATGGGAATTTATAACACTGCTAGAAAAACTGCACAGCCTCATGAAAGAGAATGAAACTGGACCACTATTTTAACCATACACAAAAATTAACTCAAGATGGATTAAAGACTTGAGCGTAAGACCTGAAACAATAGAACTCCTAGAAAAAAATTTAGGTGGTAAACTCCTTGATATCGGCCTTGACAACATTTTTTTTTTTTTAATTTGACACCAAAAGGAAAGGCAACAAAAACCAAAACTAAATAAATGGGACTGCATCAAACTAAAAAGCTTTCACACAGCAAAAAGGAAACCCTCAACAAAATGAAAAGGCAACTTACTGAATGGGAGAAAATAATTGCAAATCATCTAGCTGATAAGGGGTTAATACCCAAAATATAAAAAAAACCTCATACAGCTCAATAGCAAATGAATAGACATTTTTTCAAAAAAGACATTCAGATGGCCAACAGGTATACGGAAAGATGCTCAACATCACTCATCATCAGGGAAATGCAAATCAAAACCACACTGAGCTATCACCTTACACCTGTCAGAATGGCTAGTACCAGAAAAAAGTAAGAAACAACAGGTGTTTGTAAGAATGTGGAGAAAAAGAGAACCCCGTGCATTCCCCGATGGGAATGTAAATTGGTGCCCCCAAGAAGGAAAACAGGAGGGAGGTGCCTCAAAAAATTAAAAATAGAAATACCATATGATCCAGCAACCCCACTTCTGTGTATTTATCCAAAGGAAATGAAAACGCTGACTTGAAAACACGTATGCACCCCCATGTTCACTGCAGCATCATTTCCAATAGCCAAGACATGGCAGCAACCTAAGCGTCCAATGGTGGATGAATGGATGAATAAGATGTGGTATATACAGTTGACCCTTTAAAAAAAAAAAAAGATTTTATTTATTTGACAGAAAGAGAGCACAAGCAGGGGGAGCGGCAGAGGGAGAAGGAGAAGCAGGCTCCCTCTGGGCAGGGAGCCCGATGCGGGGCTCGATGCCAGGACCCTGGAATCATGACCTGAGCGCAAGGCAGACACTTAACGGACTTAGCCCCCCAGGTGCCCCTCCAGTTGACCCTTGAACAACATGGGTTTGAACTCCGTGGGTCCACTTATATGTGGATTTTTTTCGATAAACACAACAGTACTATAAATGTATTTTCCTTATGATTTTCTCAACATTTTCTTTTACTTATTATAAGAACACAGTATATATTACATATAATATACAAAATGCATGTTAATTGACTGTGTTATTGGTAAGGCTTCTAGTCAACAGTGGGCTATTAGTAGTTAAGTTTTGGGGAAGTAAAAAATTACATGTGGATTTCTGCCTGCGCAGGGGGTCAGCACTCTCAACCTTGGCATCATTCAAGGGTCAGCTGTATAGATGCAATGCAATATTATTCAGCCATAATAAAGAAGGAAATCTTGGGGCACCTGGGTGGCTCAGTCGGTTAAGCATCTACCTTCAGCTCAGGTCATGATCTCAGGGTCCTGGGATTGAGCCCCATGTCTCATTGGGCTCCCTGCTCAGCGGGGAGTCTGCTTGTCCCTCTCCCTCTGCCCCCCCTCCTGCTGTCTCTTGCACCCTCTCTCAAATAAATAAATCTTTAAAAAACAAAAGGAAGGAAATCTTGCTGTTTGTGACATGGATGGACCTTGAGGGCTATATGAAAGACACATGTTGTGTGATCTCATTTATATGTGGAATCTTAAAAAACCCCAAAACCAAAACCTGAACTCAGATATAGAGAACAGATTGGTGGTTGCCAAAGGCAAGGGGCGGGGCAAATGGGTAAAGGGGGTCAAAAGGTACAAACTTCCATATAACGTACAGATGGCGACTACAGTTAATAATAATGTTTGGCATATTTGAAAGGTGCGAAGGGAGTAAATCTTAAAAGTTCTCGTCACAAAAAAAAAATTGTACCTGCATGCTGACAGATGGTAACAGACTTATTGTGCTAATCATTTCCCAATATATACAAATGTTGAATCATTATGTTGCACACCTGAAACTAATATGTTATATGTCAACTACATCTCAATTAAAGAACTGCATATAAAAGACTTTTATTTATTTTATTTATTTATTTATTTGACAGAGAGACACAGCCAGAGAAGGAACACAAGCAGGGGGAGTGGGAGAGAGAGAAGCAGGCTTCCCACCCGGCAGGGAGCCCGACGCGGGGCTCGATCCCAGGACTCTGGGATCATGACCTGAGCCGAAGGCGGACGCTTAAGGCCTGAGCCACCCAGGTGCCCCCAAAAGAGACTTTTATACTGTGAATGAAATGGGGAGTCACTGGAAGGTTTTGAGCAGAGGAATGACGGGAGCTGACATGTTTTAATTAGCAATAATCGCGCCTCGGATAAACCTCATTGGCTACGATTCTGCCACTGCGCAAAGCTGACTTATATTTTAGAGTCTCGCTCTTGCTGCTGTGCTGTGTCATTATCAGCATTTTTGAAGATTAATATGACCCTGCCCTTGAGGAAGTGCTCAAACTCCGCTAAGGGAATCCATTAGGATGCTAGAGTAAGAATCTAGATAATAAGCCTGGGTCTTCATGTTAACAAGGACCTGCCCCCTGCAGAGGCAACAGAAAGGGAAGGGGAAATATGACTGAGAAAGGTGCTATAAAGGACAAATGCCCCCGTTAATGACGGATTTGATACGTGAGGTGAGACAGTGACCAAAAAGATAAAAAATACCTAGAGTCTTGGAGCCTTTGAGACCCGAAGAGTCCATCTAGAAGCGAAATGCGACGTCAGTGGAGGGCGCCCTCCTTAAAAATCAACGACCCCATTCCTCTGAATGGAGATGAGCCGGAGCTGCTGGGACAGCCCTGATAGAAAATTCCAGCTTACAGTAGTGCAGGAGAGCACAGCTAGTGGGATTAATGGAAGGGCTGTCAAATCCACCTTCCGTCTCACTTTCACACTCGAATTTGACCCGAATTCAAAGCAAGGGACTATGGGAAAGAAGCAGGGTTTATGGCCATACTCTCCACCATCCACGTGAAAACAATGGCCTTGATTGGCAGCCGCCCCCACCCTCCCCCTTACCTTGCTCACGCTCGTCTCCTCGTGGCTCTTCGCTTGCACGTGTGCGCACGCGCAGGTCCTGACGCCTGACTGCGGCCCGTGCAAGTCGAGCAAGAGTGCTGGGCATTTGTCTTTTTCTGGGTTCCTCGGTTCTTCGAGTACGCAATTCCCAGGCATATTTGGTGAGAGGTTGCAGAAGAGCAGAAAGAATCCCTTTCCAAATCTGTAGGAGGCGGCAAGGCTTCCGGCGGGGCCTGAAGCAGCGCTGATGGGTCTGGGAGCAGCCCGAAGGGGAGGAAGGCTGTGGGCAGAAGAGCGGCCTCTGGCTTTGGAGGTCGGGAAGGAGGGAGGGAGAGGGGCGATCTGTGCGCAGGAAAGCTCCGCGGCCTTGCGCGAGCACATCCCCTCTTCTCTGTGCGCCCCCCCTCGCCCCCCCCCACGGCCCGCGGCCCTTGGGCCCACACGTCGTCACAGACCGAGGCTCTCCGTGCAGTTCACAGTGGCCAGGCCCTGTGTGGTCCGGAGAAAAGCTCAAGCGCAGTTCCCTGGTGCTCGTGCGTGCGGATGGACGATGCAGGCCTCTTGGGCTCACCCGCTCAAAATGACCTGCAGGAATCCAGGAGCACCCTGGTCTGTGGATAAGAAATCAAACCCGCACACGAACTAGAATGAGTGATGTACTGTTTTCCATTCGATACAAAACAACGGGTCTGATTCTCCTGAGTTCCCTCCTCACGGTCGGTGCCTTTCCCGGTGTCAGACTGTGGGTTTTCTGGAGGCAAGGGTGTGAGGGCAATCCCGGGAGGTGGTCCCAGGAGAGCTCGCCGGAGGGGAGGAGGACTTGAACCGCTGGGAGGGGGAGGGAGACAAATGAAGGCTGGCCGTGGCCTCGGCCACCGCCGTGGGCAGCGGGGGCTCCACCCGGAAGGGGACGTTCTGGCAAGTTCGCCTCTCCAGGATGGCAAGGGAGCTACCGTGCCTGTACACCCGTTTGTCATCTGGCTGCCTGCTGCTTCCAGAACGCTGCCTTTCCAACACTTGGCCTTGTCTGCACAGCAAACATCCTCATGCCACCAGGAAAACAGCGCGGGGGCCGGGAAACACAGGGTTCACGGGAAACAGCCTTCGGCGCGCGCGCAGAGGAGGGCCGAGAGCATGCGCAGCAGCTGCCTCTGGCGCCCCTCAGCCATAACCCAGCGGCGAGGCCTCCTGAGCGCCCCTGCTGTTCGGGGCCCGCTCACTAGCAGGTGCTGTCTTCATTGTTCTGGAAAAGGATCAGCTAGAGCCCGTGGCCTACCTCCGCCTGCATGCCAGCATACTGGAAATACAAACATGTTCTCTCCACTCACACAGATCCAGGCCCCAAGCCTAGCTCTGCTGCTCGGGAGCGGAATGACTCCAGGAAATTGTTTAACTTCTTGGATCTGTCAAAGCAGAGAAAATAATAGCTAGCTTGCAAGCTGAGGCAAACAAAGTTCTATGGCCACATTATTACTGGTTTTGTTAGTGGTCCCCTCCTCGATCTTGACTCTGATTTCATTAGACTCGTCAAATTCTGGGTTGTCAGGGTTGGAATAGATTTAGCCATTGTGTAGCCTAGACCTCTCATTTGACCCCTGAGGAGCGAAGGCCCACAGAGTGGAAGGACTAATGGGTGGACACGAACCTAGTTCTCACAGTCTCTTTTTTTCCTGATTAGAAGAATAATGCAGGGGCGCCTGGGTGGCTCAGTTCGTTGGGCGACTGCCTTCGGCTCAGGTCATGATCCTGGAGTCCCGGGATCGAGTCCCGCATTGGGCTCCCTGCTCGGCGGGGAGCCTGCTTCTCCCTCTGACCCTCCCCCCTCTCATGTGCTCTCTCTCTCAAATAAATAAATAAAATCTTTAAAAAAAAAAAAAAGAAAAAAGAAAAATAATGCAGATCTGCTGGAGAAAAATTAGAAAACTCAGAAAAACGTGTTAGGCGAATATAAAAAGGAATTATTTTAGCAGATCCTTGGCTTTACTTGGCTCATATTGGAGTTTTCATACATCTAAGACTACATTCGGGCTCTGTTAAAAGTTGATGATTTACCCACTCATTTGTTTGGAAAGTGTCTAGGATCTGTCGGAGTGAAGGTGATTCCAACAGGCAGGAGAACAGCTAATAAAGTTCAACCACCAAGGCAATCTCCTGGTTCGTGGGGCAGTTCATGGCAGTGTGGACAGATTAAAATACTTATGTGAGAAACCTACTTTTCTGGAAGCCCCCAGCGGATCTGTCTTCAGACCTCATTGCACCGAATTCAGTTTGAGGCTCACGTTGACCAAGCGGTAGGGCTAGCACAGGTCATAAGATTAGAGAGAATGATTGCTCAGACTCCTTGACTTTTGCTTAGTTTTCTATAGATCCAGCAAACAAGCAAGATGAGGCTTATTCATAGGACCAGGGGGCTGAGCAGAAGCGGCTTCTCAGTGCTTTCCTCACAGGGATGTGCCTGAAGTTGGGGGTCCCAGCAAGAGACCACCAGGGCAGAGGAGCTCAGAAATGTGCATTTTCTCCTCATATCATATGAGGCTGGAGGTCAGGGCAGCACCCCTCTTTCTGTGAAAAGACGTTTTTGCTGCCGGACGTTAATATAACTTAGCTACTTATACATTCTCTTCGTGTTTTTGGCACAGGGCCCTGGCTCTGGCCTGCCACCACGCCCATCCCAGAACCAATCTCTTTAGCCATGGGACATCCATGCTCAACTTGGCTGAGGTTGAATCCCAAGGGAGGTGATCCTGATGAGGTTAAAACAATTCAGGCTGGGAGCAATGAGGAATAAGTGCTTAATGCATATGGGGTCTCCTTTGGGGGTGATGAAAATGTTTTGAAACTAAAAAGAGGTGATGATTGCACAACATCGTGAAGGTACTCAATGCTGCCAAATTGTACACTTTAAAATAGTTAATTGCATGCTATGTGAATTTCACCTCAATACAAACAAATAACAATTACAGCCATACTTGATTGCGAGAGGAGTCAAACCCGCCCCCCCCCCCCCAACTGCATGGCTGATACAGAATGCAGAATGGAAGGGTTGGGTGTTGGGTAGATAACCTGGTGTCTACTCCAAAACTCCTATGAAGAGAACAGCCAGTGGTGGAGGGGAAGAGGACAGGGTTTGAGGTCACAGCAGTCTTGGGATCTAATACTGGCTTAGCTTTTATCACCTATTTGCTATATGACTTTGAGAAAATTACTCCACTGCTTTGAGCCTTGCCTGTTAAATGGGGAGAATGCCATATGGTGTATGGGTGTCCTGGGGATTAGCTGGGGCAACCCATAAAAACCACTGGCACACATAATACATACTAAGCAGGAAACTAAGTTAGGAAACGAAGTCTATGGGTTGTGTCACCTGACAATGAGAAGAAAGTCAGGGATGACTCTCAAATGTCCAGCTTAGGGATTGGTGGATGATGTAACGACAGAGACTGGAAAGAGTGGTTCTAGTGGGAAGTTGAGGAGTCTGGTTTTGGCCATGTTAAGCTTGAGCTGGCCAAAGAAAAATCACATGGAACTTTCCAAGCACACAGCGGGATGTGTTTATCTGAAAGAGTAGTTAAGGCTGGAGACGCATCATTTGTAGGCTACAGTGAAAGTCATAAGAGTAGATAAAAATATACCACGACTGTATGTAGTGAGCAGAGCAGTGGGCCATGGATGACGCTGATGAACACCGAGATTTAGAGTGGATTTAGGAGGCCATAAAGGAAACAGAGAATTAGATAGAAGGGAAAGTAGGTGAGAGTAATATCATGGGGATGAAGTGAGTCTAGAATGTCAAGAAGGAGCAAATGGCCAATAGCAGTTTAATACGGCAGAGAGGTCTGATAAGATATGGACTAAAAAGTGTTCGCTGGCTCTCACAGCGTGGTGGTGATTGGTGATTTGTGGCCATTCCCAGACCAGATTTGGTGGAGTGATTAGGACAGAATCCAGACTGCTTGTGGGGTGAAGGGGAGATGAGGAGGTAGTTAACAGCAGGTGGGCATGCCCCTTCTAAGTGACCTAAGAGCAGGTGGAGGGGGGGCAGTGAAGGGAGAAAAGACTTGTTAGAGTGGGATACTTAAAGAGATCTATAGGCCTAAAGCAAAAGCCAGTGCAGAGGGAGAGGATGAAGACAGAGAAAAGTGAACGGATGACTGATGAAGTTTCCAGAGAAGAAAGAGGTTAGAGTCAGAATCAGAGATTGAGGGGTTGGCCTTGAGAAGAGATGTCTCGTCCTTGGGGACTGATGGCAAGAGGTAAGAACAGGATCCGATGCTAATTAGTTCATAGGTTGGACGGGAGCAGATAAGAGGAAATACCTGATGACCTTAATTGTTCTGGAACAAGAGTCAGTAAAGTTTTCCAATAAAGGACCAGATAGTAAATATTTTAGGCTTTACAGGCCACATCATCTCTGTCACAACTACTCAACCTTACCACTGTAGTGCAAAACCAACCACAGACAATATGTAAAGAAATGGGTGTGGCTATGTCTCAATAAAACTTTATTTATAAAAACATGTGGTAAAGTGGGTTTGGCCTGTGGTGTTTGGAGTTTGCCAACCTGTTCCTAGAGACGTAGGAAAAGTGAGCCATCTGCTGAAAGTGGCAGGGTGTGGAGACTGAGAAACATATTAAACATCTTGCAGTCATGAGGAAGTTTCCATCAGCCCTGAGGGATAAGCCGTGGCTGGAGTCTAGAATTTTGTGATTGCACCAACCTGTCCCACTGTGGATAGTGGAATCACCTATAGTAGGGGTAAAATGCAAAGGCAGATTGAGTATGCCGATTTGGAGTTTTGCCCGCTGCGTGGGGTGGTAGGACAGGGGTACGAGGAAGTTGGGTGTGCTGATGAGAGCTCGTTCAATCCCAGCTATGGACTCTACCTTTGGCAGAGAAATCAGGCTGGGAGTAGACTGCTAGACTGGGAGAAAATGGGATGGCCAGAAGCAGGAAGAGAAGGGATGCTGGAGATGAGGCCGGGATAGGAGACTGTGGCTGTATGTATATTGGGATTTAAGGCACTGGGTGGAGCAATGATGGGTTAGACAAGATCCGGAGTGGGGCTATGGAACGGGGCTGCTGATGGAGAGTAGAGGTGAAGGTCATCAATGGGCGTTCTTGGGAGATGCTCAGCTCCACCAGTCCACTCTGTGATTGTACAAATTGGTGCCTGCAATCCACTTTACTAAAGGCTATTCCTCCTTTCATTACCTATCTTTTATTGATGTAATATAGCTGTGTATCGAGCATTCCCTTGTAAGCGTAATTGACGTGGGAAACAAAGACAAAAGAAAAATTAAATTTCCTGACTACCTATAGCCCACTGACAAGTCCTTGAAACAGGCAGAGTGACATTCCTCTAGAAACTCAGCTGCCTCGATGTTAATACTTTGCTAATGGCAAAAGGCAATGTTAGCCCGACCCCCAGGACCCTGTAAGTCTACTTTAACATATAAAAATTCCTTTGGAGATGTCCTTTATCTCTACCCTCCCCCGCCCCCACCCAAGATACATGTTGGCAATCATCCCCCAAGTATACATCCCACTAATGTACATCCGAAGGGTCTCAGTGAGTAAGGGACAAGCGGGGCTAGGTAGGGAGAGATAGGTAGGGGGTTACGTGATCAAGCTCACAGAAATCCCAGAAATGCTGAGGCATAATGAAACCAGAGATAAGGGAAAAAACCAGACCACCCCGCTCTGGGCGTCAGAGGTGGGTCTTTTTATGGCCATCACATTGTGTCTAACAAAGAATAACCAGACCCCAAAGAAGAAGTGAGCCATTAAAGACGTTATCACCAGTCCTTACTCAAACCAAGACGTCACAAGAATATCAAGGCCACAAGCTCCCTGGTCAGCTCTAAATAAAGGACTGTCAATGGAGGCCCTCGTTGGCAACCCTGTTGGGGCCCCTCTCACTCCTGAGAGCTTTTTCTGTATCCTTGCTTAATAAAATTCTATCACTTTGCTCACTCTCCTTTGTCCATGAGATTCATTCTTTGACTCAATGAGACAAGAATCTCCTTCTCCTGCTTCATCATTAGCTTGTTTCACTGCCAAAACAACATATGATGAATTACATATTCATTGCATGCACATCTTGGTCCAGGCCCAGAAACTTGGAGGGTGAGCTTCCCAGGTTGCTGGCTTAGGGATTGTTGGATCCCGATGGACTAACCAAGACCATTTTCTTTAATGAAACCCAGGGATTCTTTTCATTTTGTTTGTGTGCTACCGTTTGCAGGTGTATTTGCTTTATGTACCACACTAATGAATTCCAGTGAAAGTTGAAAAAATGCTTTCTAATCTTTCACCACATAAAATAACTCATTTGAGAGACTGTGAGAGCTATATGAATGTCTTTCTATGATGAATTGTTACCTTAGTGTTAGTGACATTTTA